TCGCGGCACGGAGGGAGCCGCCCCACGTTGTCAAGGTGTCCTCCCGCCCTTGGAGGAGGACACCTGAGGGACCTACAGGGTAGTGAGGTGGCAGCGCTGGGCCCGGCGAGGTCGCGGTCCTTGCCCGCCGGGAGAGCAGCGTCCCCTCCTCCGCGCCAGCGGTGGCTAGGAAGGCTTTCCACTGGGATGCCCCGGCAACTGCCGCGGACGGAAGGGAGGGACCGCCGCGAGCCGCGGGAATGGATTCCTTCCCTGCCTCGCAGCTGCCGCCCCAGCAAAGCTCCCACGTTCTAAAGAGAGGATTCCGGAGACAGCTGCTCCAGCCGAGTGGAGGCGGGATGCTTTGTGCCCGGAGCTCTGGGAACGGGTTTCCTCCCTTAATTTGGATGTGCGAAAGTTCTGATTGATTTTAAATATAGATGAGGGCTTGAAGCCTGTACAGATGTCATAGTCTGATACGGTCATCCACGTCCATCATCACCAAGGCTTCCCTGGTGCATTGTGAAAAGTGAACCTAAGGGGGTGATAAGATTTTAACATAAGTTTAAAATAGTCTCAGCTTCCTAAAATGAAGCAAAGCAAAAAATGAACAAGCAGAAGGAATCAGAAACAATTTAGTTTGAGAACTGACAGTAAAGAAAGAAAAAGTTGTTTGAAATATCCTTAAAAAGTAGACTTTTAAGAATCACATGGAAATTTGAGAGAAGGAACGTGAGAAAACATTAAAACAAGGAAGTGACTCAAGTAGTAAACCGTTTATAATTATTCTCAAAAAAGTGCTTTTTAAAGGAAAATGGGCTGATATATTCCAAAGATGAGGCAGATTTTTTTTCTCTGATTCTGTGAGTTGCTGATTTGTGAACTTTCAGGGTTAAAGGGAACGTCAGGGGCCTCCCAATGCTGAAATCCCTGAAAAAATGAAACCCCTCAGTTCGTTAAGTCTGAAATAAGGGCATGAGATGTGCCTGTAAGAGAGAAAGCTTTCTTTTGAACTGAAAATGTCCTCAACAGTGTGGTCAGTTACACAGTCTCCATGATCTAGGGCTAAGGTCTGTGTCTGGAGCATTTTTGAGCTCATTGGTAATGCTCTTCTGCCTGGGAAATAAAAACACAAGACAACTAATTGTTTCTAAACAAATTGTGTGCTTTTTTTTTTTTTTACACTTTTCCAGGATTTGTTTTAACCATGTCCTTTTCTTTGCCCATAGGTGCAGTTATCTAGTTGACAAAATTTGGAGGTTCACTACAAAAAGAAGCATAACAAAGGCAGAACAGGAAATTTCAGGTCTAGCCCAACCCTGGTTAAAATGCGGACACTGTGAATTACAGTTTAGATGTGCCACATAGAATTGTGGGGTGCTTCAAGGTGCATTATCCGCCCATCAATTCATAAGCCCCTTCACAGTGTAATATGCATGGTATTGAATTAAACACTGAAGTTACTCATTTTAATTTTTCTGTAGGAAAGCCCTTGCTACCACCTGGAGTGAGGAAAATTCCGCTATAAATGGGAATCTTAAGATGCAAAACAGTGTTATCAGTTCTATCTGTGGTATTACTAATGGAAGTTTCTAGTCAAAAGTCTTCATATGAGCTATCAACATCTAAGTTTATAATATTTTTTGAGCTGTATCCCTGTCTCATACACAACAAAGAAGGGAAGGATGGGGAGGGCAACAGAGAGGAAGAAAGAAAAGATAACCTTTCGGAAAGCCAAGTTCAAGTTTTTTACTGCCATCTAATTTGTATCCCTCTGACATCAATGTCTTCGCAGAACTAAGACCAAAGACTTTCTCGTAATTTTCCTAATCTTGAGCATACATTGAAACCATAGCAGAAAACAAAAGAGAGACAAGCTGGTTTTCATGGTGGTTCAGGCCTGTAATCCCAGCTGTTCTGAAGGCCAGGGCAGAAAGATCGAGCTCAAGGCTTACCTAGACTACTTACTGCCTTTGTCTTGAAACACAAAGCTATAAAAGGGCTGGAGATGTGTGTAGCTCACTGGGAGAACATACTTGCCTAGAATGTGTGAGGTTGTGGGTTCAGTCCCTGGTACAGAAAAAAAAAAAAAAAAAAAGCAGGAATAAACAGTAGATTCAGAACAGGAAGCTTTCTACATAACTTGGAGGAACTCAAACAAAGAAAATGTAATTTCATGCTGAAATCAAGATTATTGATCTATGAACTCCTACCTGCATAGAAAGGGGAAAAAAATTAGAACAGAGAGGGGATGGAATTTTCTTTTTATCAGGAAAACAGTCCACCCAATTACAACTTCTTGGTATTTTGCCAGGTATATAGGTTAAATGGCAACATATCATGAAAGTACCACCCATGTGATTTGCAGTGTACCTGTATATATATATATATATCCCTAGATTTGGAATTTCCTCATCTCTTCTTCAGCATAGCTTATGATACCTTATGCTGCAAACTCATGTCTAACTTGATCCTACTTGTGAGAAAGTCAAACATTACTTTTTAAAAAATATTTATTTTATTTATAATTATATGTGCAATGGAATTAAAAAGAAACCTCAACTGTCACAACCATTATCTCAAAGGGATAACACATAGTGAAATCTTATGGAATGCAGAAATGACCCTTGCTGCTGCAATACCCAGAAAGTTAGATTCACATATTCACCATGACAAATGTTGCTTTTAATGTCAAATAAAACTTCAAATGTTAGTAACTCTCATTAATGACTTTTTGGGGGCAGGGGGAAGAGGGTGGTTGGTTTTTAGAGACTGTCTCACTATGAAGCCCAAACTTGCCTAGAACTCACTATATAACATCCAAACCAGTCTTAGCTGCCTTAGTGCTGAGATTGCAGGCATGTACTACCACACCCAGCTCCCATTTTGTTCTTGAGTAATGTGTAAATAAGTAGCTCTTGTATTTTGTTCCTTCACAATAGTACCCGTAGACTACAATGAAATACATTGCTATGATATATCACTCAACCACTGCAATTTTTGCAGTGTTGGAAATTGAACCCAGGGCCTCAAGAATACTAAGCAAGAACTCTCTTGGGTATACAACCCCTGTCACTACTGCAGTTTATAAAAGTGTGTATTACTAGAGTAACTGCGTCTGTAGCTATGTTCTGAACTTGTCCAGTTAGGGTCTCCAAGAGACTGGTGCTTTCTCTGTAAAGAGAAACTATTTTCATACAAGGAATGAGACACACTGGGAAGGTAGACTCTAAACAAATAGGGAATTCCTTTTCTGGGCCTCTCTCTGGGCTTTGATCTTTGAACTGCTCGCTAATACTCAAACTGAGAGGAGAAAGATGACTTCTGCAAATTGTGGCATGCTTGGAACGATCTCTCTTCCCAGCCAAGATATGTATATATTTTGGTATTTTTGAGACAGGGTTTCCCTGTAGCCCCAGCTTACTGGCCTTGCTAACTTTGAACTCACAGAGATCTGACTGCCTCTGCCTCTGCCTCTTGAGTGCTGGGATTAAAGGCATGTGCCACCATGCCTGGCAGGAGCCAAGATACTTCAGAAAGCAATGTGGAAAAGCATCGAGCCCTGTCAGCCAATATCCCCAGCTGAATATCTGGCCAACAACTGGCCCCAACTACCTGTCATGTGAGTAAGGTTATTTGTTATCTAGATAGAAAGACAAAACCCAGTAAAAAAAAATGTTCTAGTTTTGACTTACTCTCTCTGAACATAATACTTTTTTTGTCCAGAGTAACAGCTTTTAAAATATTTCAGACTGCTCACAGCTGTGCTGCAATTCAGATTCCCCATAACTGAGCCTGCAGGTTGAAGAAGGTGGTATCTGTGTTTACTCAGACACTATCAAAGGAAAGGTGATTTGTGTGGAATCATATTTGGGATTATGAGGCCAAGGAATTTGTCAATAAGATTTTCTCCTTTTTATTAAATAATAGTTTTATTAAAGGAAACACTTATTTCCATACCGATGACGCTACATTATTTTTCTGCTAAGAAACATGCACATGTTCACATCCACTAAATGTAAATTAAGATAGTATTGAGCAAGGGGAAATGTCCACTCTAAATTACTGCAAATACACATTGATGATGGGCACATCAGCCACAGATTGCACTTCCAATCTTTAGACTTGTCCCATAAGGGGTTTCAGGGGGGTGGGTGTCAGGGGGCTGGCAGTATAGCTCAGTAGTAGACTTCTTTTCTAACGTATGCAAGGCCCAGCGTACCATCTCCAAATGAACTGCCCCCTGCCAAATGAATTGATTTATATATCCCAGGGATATCTCACTGATACTGTAGTTAGCATGGATGAAGTCCTAAGTTCAATCCCCTCCATCTGAGAAATCATATCTCACAATTAAAAAGAAAGAACTTTTAAATACATCCCAGGTGTAAGTAGCTTTCTTAAAATCATGCTCATTTTTATATAACATAACTTCAAAGCCCTAAAACAATCTATCATCCACATGAACATGGACATGCGTGCATGTGACTAGGAATTGGTTGAATAATAGTTATTGTGCAGTAGGTGTTAGAAATAGTAATGAACACAGGAAAGTATCATGTATATTAAGTCAAGCTCTCTACCTTTTTCAGTCACAGACCATTGGTGATGGGA